CTTTTTATCAATTCATATTTATATATTTATATATTCAGAAAAAGTTGAGAAAACTCAAACAAAAACTCAATTTTATTCGAGAAAAGTTTAAAATTGTATTGAAAAACTAAATATACCGTTTAAACATATATCTTCCTTCATAATTGAAATAAAACGGCTGATCAATCTGTGACAAAATCAAAATTAAAATATGTGATGGTTAAAAATTTTTTTGGGATTTCATTAGAAGGGCATGGAATACATCTCGATCAATAAAAAAATTTAAATCATGAATTTGTAATTTTTACCCACTGTGTCACACTAAACATGATAAGATGAGAATAGTATCCGTTTTAGTTATATTCTAAAAACTTGATTCTTGGAACAATACTAATACTGCACATCTGAGTCTGGCATTTTTAAAATGTAGTCTGTGTTTTAGTTCAATGATCTTAAAATAACAGAAAGGAATTGAGTCTTTGTCGAATTAGCTAACGTCAATATCTTTACAACCCAATGTCGTAAACCTCAGATATTTCAAATTGGGAATTCTGTTAGATCAGGTTGCGAATATATAGCGATTAACAAATTTCGAGTTTGTTTATAAAGGTTAAATTCCTTTTAACAAATTTCTTTTAATCCCTGCTTACCTTAAGAAATGTGTATCATGGCGAACGCGCATAAAAATTTGATTTTTTTCAAATCAAAAATATGACTCTTAAATATTATAACTGCTGAGTGAGAGTGTTGGTTGACCATTCTCTATAAATTTATAGCAGTGGTAAGGAAAGGTAATCTCGCTTAAGTCCTGGAGTATGGAAGTTACTATAACCTCTCTAAGTGCTAGTGTAAGGAAGGTACTAACCTCTCTAAGTGCTGGAGTAAGGAAGGTACTAACCTCTCTAAGTGCTGGAGTAAGGAAGGTACTAACCTCTCTAAGTTCTGGTGTAAGAAAGGTACTATCCTCTCTAAGTTCTGGTGTAAGGAAGGTACTAACCTCTCTAAGTTCTGGTGTAAGGAAGGTACTAACCTCTCTAAGTTCTGGTGTAAGGAAGGTACTAACCTCTCTAAGTGCTGGAGTAAGGAAGGTACTAACCTCTCTAAGTGCTGGTGTAAGGAAGGTACTGATCAAGGATCCTGCGTTGATAGCGAAGTAGAAAACAGAGAAGAAGGTTTGAAGCTGTCGAGTTTGCTCCGGTAGTTTAAACTGATCACCTAATAAAATGAAAAATTAGATCAAATTTTTTTTCTCGACATTTTCGCTTTTTATCCTTCTTTGTTTCAAATTATCAGAGATGTCATATTGACGGCTAAGAAGAACCTCGACTATACCCTTTTTACCCCCCCCCCTTTTCTAGAAGGCCCTAATTGCCTCTACGAACCAGGCCTCCCCTCCCATTTTGTCCTCAGCGCAGAAACCCTTTTCCCCCCTTTCAAACCCTATATAAAGGCCCCTTCGACCACCGCCAAAGCAGTGTGTGACCCAATTTTTAGCCGGAAATTTTTGGATATCTCATTCAGGGTAAACTGTTATTTTATTTTATATCTTTAATTTTCCCCTCCCTGCCCCTTTTTGAATTCTTGGCCTTTTTATTATTGTATTATTATGTTCATGATCTATTTAGTTTTAGTGTATTAAGTACTTTTTAGCTTTTCTATTCTGTTATAACCACCAAATTGTATTTAATAAATAAGTAAATTATTATTTTTTAACTTTGGTAGGTTAATAGGCTAAGCTTAGGAAGTCTTGGGTACGGGAAGTTTTTTGAAGATTGCTAGATTTCGTTAATACCATAATTAGATTGAATTATCCTTACAAAATAGTTTAAATACCAATAATGGTAGTCCCTTCTGCTCTCTAACCTACCTTCTTTAACTCTCTGGTAGTCCCTTCTGCTCTCTAACCTACCTTCTTTAATTCTATGGTAGTCCCTTCTGCTCCCTAACCTACCTTCTTTAACTCTCGGGTAGTACCTTCTGCTCTTTAACCTACCTTCTTTAACTCTCTGGTAGTCCCTTCTGCCCACAAACCTACCTTGTTTAATTCTATGGTAGTCCCTTCTGCTCTCTAACCTACCTTCTTTAACTCTCTGGTAGTCCCTTCTGCTCTCTAACCTACCTTCTTTAATTCTATGGAGTCCCTTCTGCTCCCTAACCTACCTTCTTAAACTCTCTGGTAGTCCCTTCTGCCCACAAACCTACCTTCTTTAATTCTATGATAGTACCTTCTGCTCTCGAACCTACCTTCTTTAACTCTCTGGAAGTCCCTTCTGCTCTCTAACCTACCTTCTTTAACTCTCTGCTCTCTAATCTACCTTCTTTAATTCTATGGTAGTCCCTTCTTATCTCTAACCTACCTTCTTTAACTCTCTGGTAGTCCCTTCTGCCCACAAACCTACCTTCTTTAACTCTCTGGTAGTCCCTTCTGCCCACAAACCTACCTTCTTTAATTCTATGGTAGTATCTTTTGCTCTCTAACTTACCTTCTTTAACTCTCTGGTAGTCCCTTCTGTTCTCTAACCTACCTTCTTTAACTCTCTGGTAGTCCCTTCTGTTCTCTAACCTACCTTAATTAACTCTCTGGTAGTCCCTTCTGCTCTCTAACCTACCTTCTTTAACTCTCTGGTAGTCCCTTCTGTTCTCTAACCTACCTTCTTTAACTCTCTGGTAGTCCCTTCTGCTCTCTAACCTACCTTCTTTAACCCTCTGGTAGTCCATTCTGCTCTCTAACCTACCTTCTTTAACCCTCTGGTAGTCCCTTCTGCTCTCTAACCTACCTTATTAAACCCTCTGGTAGTCCCTTCTGCTTTGTAACCTACCTTCTTTAACTCTCTGAACCCAATTACTTAAGTTCTGAGTAATAAAGAAAGTTTCTCTATGCCTGTGAAAATGTGAAAATAAGAGATAGGTTTTATTATTTCCTTATAGAGCAAAGTTAAAAAAAGGAAAAAGACAAAAAAGTATTTTGCATTTTCTTCCAATTGAATTTTTTTCAAGGATATTATGTTTGCATTATGTGTATTTTTATTAATTAAGTTAGTGGTAATGAAAATATTTTAAAAATCTTTATCAGCAAAAATAAAACGAGAAATAAAAGGCAAAAAGGAAAAAATCTGATTTACATCAAACCTGTTCTCTTAGTGTATGAGACACTTAAAGGAACTGTCCGCGTAATTTTGAATTGTAGAAATATTTTACAAAAACACGGCTTATTAAATTCAACTTTAGGCTGAATTTTTTTGTGGACACTCATGAGTGGCCGGGGGGTGTTATAGACTAAAAAATCGAAATATTTTTTTTTCAAAACTTAATAAATCTAAATTATTTATTTTTGAGTGTAAAAATCACATTTTTATTCTAAAGTCGAAATTTCAGAAAAGAACCGAGTCTAATCCATACTTTGTGTAAACCTTTGATTTTTCAAACTAAGATTTTTTAATCTGATATATATAGTTTGAAATATAAACATCACAGGTTGCAACGATATAGGGTTTAGAAAATAAGAGTTTGAGGCAAAGACTAAATTCTTTAATGTTATTGATGTAACTATTTTTGAAATACTGGGTTGACCTATTCTTTTAAGTCCTCATTAAAAACGCTGTTTTATGCCTTAACCCAGAGGTCGGAAGTCTTTTGTAGAGTTTATTTAATCTTGATCTCTTAATTAACTCTTTTTAATTTAGAGATATTTTTTTTTGATTCAATAAAAGTTATCTCCACAGTATACAGGGTTATCTGTACAGTCTACAGGGTTATCTCTACAGTATACTGGGTTATCTCTACAGTCTACAGGGTTATCTCTACAGTATAAAGGGTTATCTCTACAGTATACTGGGTTATCTCTACAGTTTACAGAGTTATCTCTACAGTATACAGGGTTATCTCTACAGTATACTAGGGTTATCTCTACAGTCTACAGGGTTATCTCTACAGTATACAGGGTTATCTCTACAGTATACTGGGTTATCTCTACAGTATACAGGGTTATCTCTACAGTATACAGGGTTATCTCTACAGTATACAGGGTTATCTCTACAGTCTACAGGGTTATCTCTACAGTATACAGGGTTACTGAAGAGGAATTAAATATATCTCTAAGTCTGCATAAAATAGGATGTAGATCAATGCTTGATCCCGGGATTTACAATATAAAAGTTTTGACTTCAAATGAAATGAATATATTGATAACGTAAAATTCTGAATGTAAATCTAGCTCTGCTATCCTTCCACACTAGTTCTCACAAGGAGGGAAACTTTCAAGAACATATTTCAGAAGAAAGAAAATCTTAACTTTATGTTTTCGATGTCGAAAAACTTGCATCTGGGATAAAAATAGTCTAATCCGTCTTGTGTGCGAAATCTCAAGAGGTGCATTACATTTCTGCAAAAATATTACTTTAGTGGTTTAAAATAACTTTTCTATGATATCATGAATTCATTGTTTTAGAGTTGTTTTGGACATGGGTTAAACTTTAAATTTAGTTAAAACTAAATGATTTAGATTTTATTTCCTGAAAAATTTTGTTTCTGTCAGAGACAGACAGATAGACAGATAGACAGACAGATAGATAGACAGATAGAAAGATAGACAGATAGACAGATAGACAGATAGACATATAGACAGATAGACAGATAGACAGATAGACAGATAGACAGATAGACGGATAGACAGATATACAGATAGACAGATAGACAGACAGACAGACAGACAGACAGACAGACAGATAGACAGACAGATAACTTTTTGTTGAAAACCAAGTTTTATTGTTCTAGGGTTTCCAGTAAAATGGAGAAAACCATTTCGCAAAAAAAAATTCGCGTTTATCTGTTTCGCGAAAAAAGCAAAATTTCACATTTTTCACGAAAAAAAAATGTTTTTGGAAAGTTTATTTTGAATGCATAGGAGACGTGAATTCCATCTTATTACTAATTAAAAAACGTACGTGGAAAAGTTATATACTGTCTTAGAAGAAAATAAATATAATAAAAAATTGTCAAAAGCTAGAAATATTTTACCTTGGCTGTAGAACTTTATCAAATTTTTGCAAACTTCCGGGATTTGAATTTCCGGATTTTACCTTCAGAAAATCTTTCGTCTGGAATTCTACTCCGGAATTTTGTCATTCCGGAAAATATAAAATATTCCGTATTTTTTATTTTGTTGTAAGATGGTTTAATCTTTAATTGTTAATATTAGTCCCACTGTGTGCTCAGAATTGGAAGAAAAAGTTTCATAATCTACATTTGTTGAATTTTTCCTATATTTGTATGTTTTCTTGTAATCATTTTTTTTGCAAAATAATTTTATTTTTTCACTGAATAAGTTGAATAATGAAATGGTAAAAGAAAGTTTTCTGAAGAGCATCGAAAATGGTTTCTCCCTCTTAAAAATATTCACCCCTGGACGTGAAGGAAAATGGTTTCTCCCTCTTAAAAATATTCACCCCTGGACGTGAAGGAAAAAGTTTTCTGATTAAATCTTTCTAACTTTGTTTCTAGACTTCAATTATTTCCAATAGAATGATCTCCATCTTGAGTTTATGGATTGTTAAAATGGATTAGATTTCTTATGCTTCGTTTCTTCTCACGATTATTTTTAAACACTGGGTAAACATCTTTAAAGGACTGCCAATGGGTTCTCCATTTAAAAAGGGGGTATGTACGATTCACATCAAAATTTACTCCATTATTTCTTAAGAAATCCGCAGGTTACTTTTATTGAGAAACCATAAGAGAATATAGCCAATTTTTCAAATAGAAATTAAGGATATCTCATTCATTCTTGTTGATAAATCAAAACTTTTAAGGGTAACACCTATATGCCACTATTTAAAGAAAGGGTCACTTGAAATTTCGTATACAGTCCCTTTGATGGAAAAGTAAACAGAAAATATTCAGGAAATATTTGACTTACTTCAGGGAATTTTACTTTTAAGGGATTATTACAGACAAATCCGCCTCCGATCCAACATTATATAGTTCACCTCCGAACCAACAACGATTCCTCTGATTATTATAGTTCACCTCCGAACCAACAACGATTCCTCTGATTATTATAGTTCACCTCCGAACCAATAACGATTCCTCTGATTATTATAGTTCACCTCCGAACCAAAACGATTCCTCTGATTATTATAGTTCACCTCCGAACCAATAACAATTTCTCTTATTTACCAAACTAACACTCTGATTGTATAATATACCTTTAAACTAACAATGCTTAACTTTCCTCCAATAAAATAATTTACCTCCAATCCAACCATCCGGCCTCCGATTAAATAAACTAACCCTTTAGGTGTATAATAAACATTTGAACTAACAATGATTTACTATCCTCCAATTAAATAATTTACCTCTGAACTAACCCTCTGATTGTATAATAAACCTTTTAACTAACAATGATTAACTATCCTCCAATAAAATAATTTGCCTCCAATCAAACCATTTGGCCTCCGATTAAATAAACTAACCCTCTGGGTGTGTAATAAACCTTTAAACTAACAATGATTTACTATCCTCCGATTAAATAATTACCTCCGAAAGCAGAGACACAGGGTTTAATTCCTCCAGTTCCAATTGCAATCAGCGCCAGACCAATCAATGAAAACTCACTAAAAAAATACAAATATTAAAAATGTCTAAATTAAAGGGAACGTATACCAAATATGAAAGTAATAATCTCTATCTTTCATTTATATAATTTGTAATTAGGGAATGTGAATTCAAATATCACATTAACTCCCTAGAAGGGGATAATTTATTTGGTGTACCGTCCCGTTTTACCATCTGTAGTTTGTGTGTATTCTGTACATATTTGGTGTACCGTCCCGTTTTACCATCTGTAGTTTGTGTGTATTCTGTACATATTTGGTGTACCGTCCCGTTTTACCATCTGTAGTTTGTGTGTATTCTGTACATATTTGGTGTACCGTCCCGTTTACCATCTGTAGTTTGTGCGTATTCTGTACATAAAAAAGTTGTGTCAGTACTTTAAATGATTCGGAATTTTCATTTTTCGTTATCACTTATTCAAAAAATATATTATTTCATTTTCAACACAACTAATTAACGATTTGAACGCATACTGCTACCAACATTTATTTAAGAAATATAAGTTTATGTTTATGTATGAACATAAAAACATTTTCCAAGATTAATATTCTAGCCAGGAATGTTCCAGAAAGTTAAGTTTAGTGTGCAAACATCTTTAGATGGTTTCACAAAGAGTAATGTTTCCCATTAATGTTGTTTTTCAAATATATATACAGATAGTTTATGCTAGCAGGGGGCATCCTTTATCCTTTATCCAATATCATGCTAAAAACCTTAATTGCAGAAAGAAATTTATACTGCATCAGTGCGTTGTGTGTATTATATACAAAATAAACAAACATAATTGATTTTAAAAACCTAAACATCCATATATCCTTTTAACCTCATGTCGTTGTATAAACATTTAAAACTGAAAATCCAAATTTTTGCTAGATTCTCATCGACTAAACGTATCTTTGTAACCGAATGTTGTAAACCTAATTGTGTAAATATTTCAGACATTTTTTCTATAGCAGAGGTCGTAATTTTAAATATTCAAGTTTTTCGACATCATGTTGCAAAGATATAATGACTATAAAATTGAAATTTGATGCAAGGATTCAGTTCCTTAATATCTATTACGCCAGGTTTGTCAGGCAATAAGTCTAAGATTGTGAACAAACTTAATAATGAAAAGTGAAAAATGTAGTACTTTTGATTTAAAATGTACCTTTGATCATAATTGAGAAAATAGTTTTTGTTTTAGTGTCTAATTTTCTTAACATCCTATTTCTTAAAGGGAGTGATCGCGAAGAATGAAAGGGGGGTTTCGGCAGCAGATATCGAATTAAATTTTTTAAGGTGATTACGTCTTTACATTTTTATACATAAGGTTGAAAAGATATGAATATTAGGCTGTAAAATATATTTCAGGGGCTGTAAGCGTTATGCATAGATGGCAATGTCCGACTTAAAATTGTAGCCTAAAAAACGCTTTGTCTGGAGTATGAATTTAATACAATTTCTTTTGTTTCTCTAAACTGTTTTTATTCATTTGTGGTTTCTCTGCGAAAGTGAACTTTAATTTATTAGAAGCAATTGTGAAACTCACAGAAAGTTCTAATAAACACTATTTCAGTCAGAAAAACGACAGTATCTTCCTCATTTTTGTTAAGGTTTCAAGGGTACCGTTGCAAATTTGGTATTTTACTCATGCATGGAGGGTCCAAAGAAAAATGTTACTAATACCCCCTCCACCCCCCCCTGCTTAGGGCATCCAACCTCACCAAGAGGAAAAAAACTAGGGTTTTCTACATAATTTCAATTGACCCACTAATTATCGAGGGGCATTTCCGATTCACAATGGTATCCATTAAAGCTATATTTCTGATTCACAATGGTATCCATTAAAGCTTTATTTCCGATTCACAATGGTATCCATTAAAGCTTTATTTCCGATTCACAATGGTATCAATTAAAGCTTTATTTCCGATTCACAATGGTATCCATTAAAGCTTTATTTCCGATTCACAATGGTATCCATTAAAGCAGTATTTCCGATTCACAATGGTATCCATTAAAGCTATATTTCTGATTCACAATGGTATCCATTAAAGATTTATTTCCGATTCACAATGGTATCCATTAAAGCAGTATTTCCGATTCACATTGGTATCCATTAAAGCTTTATTTCCAATTCACAATGGTATCCATTAAAGCTATATTTCCGATTCACAATGGTATCCATTAAAGCTTTATTTCCGATTCACAATGGTATCAATTAAAGCTATATTTCCGATTCACAATGGTATCCATTAAAGCTATATTTCTGATTCACAATGGTATTCATTAAAGCTATATTTCCGATTCACAATGGTATCCATTAAAGTTGTATTTTGTATATTGTAAGGAGAAAATTGCTAAAAGCGACTTATACTGAAGAACGTAACGTACATACAAATTGAGAAAGTTGCAACATATGACTCGGATCGTAAAAAAATTCTTTCATTTCAAACAAATCATTCAGATTTTACAACCTACAGTCATCGATTATTTTCGACGCATTTCTATATAGTTAATATTTCATAATATTTTTTATTTGTTATGCACTTAAAACGCCGAAATAGTTGGCCGCCAGGTGTCTCTGTTCTCGATGCTTTGAATGATTTCACGTGGCAGAGACACCTAGAGGAAAAAACGTCGTTTTTAGTGCATTGCATAAACAAATAACAAATATTATGAAACATTAACTATATTCTAATTCGTCGAAAAATAATCGATGTCGAAACTAATATTTCAATATTTCAATGATTTGTTTGATATTAAATTGATTTGTTTACGATCCGAGTTGAATGTTGCATCTTTCTAGACGTTTTTAACAAATTTCTCCTTATAGACCCAACAGATAGAATTAAGATTAGTAGCGATCAAAAGCGCTTTTTTATACCCCCTTTCATTTTTCGCAAACACTCCCTTTAAACTTTTTAAATTTAATGACCTAAAGTTCTAATTGGGTTTCTTTTATAAATATTAAGTTTCGACGGTTTATAAAAAGGTATGGCCAAGATAAAAACAATTTCGTAAAAACTCAGGTTAATTTAAATTACCAGACCGACTTTTAGGCAGCTAGATCAAGTTGTACAAATACGGGAAAATGAAACAGTACACTAAATGAATCATCTCCTTCTTGTGAGACTTATGTTGAAAAGACATTAAATAAATTATATACAGTCGTCCATAGTTTTTCATCCTTGGTACTTGGGTTATCCTGTAAATGTAATTGAATGTAAGGTTTGAGAATATGACTGAAGACGTAAGATTGAAGAGTGATATATCTGTATATACCTATATATATGTATCTGTATATATATATAATATATATATGTATCTGTATAAATATATATATATATAGGTATATAGAACAGATATTGGGTTCAGTTGAGCATCTAATGTAAAAGTACTCAACAACTCACTTTTACCCATTATAAAAACAACCCAGAGATTCCCAATAATACAAACCATCCTTCACTCTTTGGTATCCATCTTCCAAATAAAAACTATCTAATTCCAAAAAATATATAAATAATATTTTAGAAATCATCAGAAGTTCACAATTAGAAGCTTAAACATTGTGTTTGTAATACTCGACTAGCATTTCGAAATAACAAGAATATATCAGAAACATTCTAATCATATTGTCGAAAAAAATTATCATAATTTCAAATTGAATTCGGGGGTTCGATATTAAACGTAACAAAATGTTTGGGTTTAGATATACTATTTAAATGGGTCCGAAAGTGAAGGCTTAGCAAATTATATATCTAAAGGTTTCATGTAAGTGAAGTGTTCATTGGCAGCCAGATGAGAATAAGAAATAAGAGAGTGGAGACTTTTTACATTCCTAACCTATACACTATACACTGCCAGGGTTCTACCTCTTTATATCTTCTAATCAATTATCTATATATATAAAGTTGTAATGATCGTATGGGTGGGTGTGTGTTTGTTTGTTTGGATGTCTGAGCATAACTTATGAACCCTTGGACCGATTTGCCTCAAAGGAATTGAGTCTTTTTCACAAACTCAAATTTTCTAAACCCTATATCTTAGCAACTTGATGGTGTAAACCTTTGATATTTCAAACTTAGATTATTTGATCTACCAGAATTCAATGCTTGAAATATCTAAGGTCTACAGCATTGGGTTGCAAATATATTGGGATTAGAAAATCTGAGTTTGTGGCAAATACTCAAATCCTTTTTATTAGAGAACTCGGTAAAACATGGAAATCTTTATAGCTGAGTTTTAAGTTCTTAACTGAGTGGTTTGACTTTTACGGGGAAAAATCCAAGCAAAGCTAGTCATTAATATAATAGTAGAGAATACTCGAGGTTTAGTGATTTATGAATTAGAAAATTCGCCAAAATCCAACAAACAGGGTTTATTTAACAACTTTCCAAATTGGTTGAGCGCAATTTTGATCTTAGTTGATTGGAAATGATGACTGCTAATCTAGAACATATATAACAGCTGAGTTGGAACATATGTATAGGTCAGGTAATCTAAGTTATATTTCAGTAGATCTGAAACGTATATGTATCAGCCAATCTGGAACATATTTTTGGAAAATATCAGCTGATCTGGAAGATAACTCTACTGATCTGGAACGTATTTGTCCGCTAACTTGGAACAAATAGTGTCAGCTAATCTAGAACATATATGTCAGCTAGCCTAGAAAATAAATGTCAGCTAATCTAGAACATTTATGTCAGCTAATCTAGAACAGATATCACAGTTAATCTAGAACGTATGTGTCAGCTAATCTAGAACATATAAGTCAGCTAATCTAGAACATTAATGCCAGCTAATCTAGAACATATATGTCAGCTGATCTAGAACATATATATATGCCAGCTGAATTGGACCATATATATCAGATAATCTAACATATATTTCAGTAGATCTGAAACGTGTATGTATCAGCCAATCTGGAACATATTTATCAGCTAATTTGTAAAATATATATATCTACTGATCAAAAACACTTACATCAGCTGATCAGGAACACATATATCATCTGATTTGAAACACCAAATTTGAAATATATATATACTGATCTTAAACGCTTGTATCAGCTGATCTGGAATGTATACGTCTCCATACGTCAGCTATAAATTCGGAACGTACATGTCAGATAATTAGTGAAATATATATCAGCTCATCTGAAATATATAATATGTCAGCTGATGTTTAGCAAAGAAAACCTGCATGAGAAAACAATTCTACTTCCATTCATATTGATATATTGAAATCATGATATAGATAAATATTGGTGTCACCTGCCTGTTATGGTTTTAAAATGGAAAATTGGAATTATTTAAATATCGGAAACCGTTGAATCAGCAGAAATTTTGCATTAGATCTGTAAATAATATATCTAGGATTTCTGTTTTTGCTGGTTAGTGTGTTTACTTTTAGTTATGGTTTTCTTTATTTACATAAATATATAAATGTCTACGAAAACACACAATTTGCGAATAATTTCTGATTCATGATAAAAGAAAATCTATAAGAACTCGTTCATTTTCGTTCTTGGCGACCCTGTTTATTCTGACCATCTTTGTGGAGCACGTGCCAGGATCTTCTATTATAAGGGATGAAACTATTTCATCCAAAATATTTTTTAAAAACTCATTCAGTAATTAACGATATAAAAAATAAACACAGATCGTTTGGGAAGATTGATTTTTGAATTTTTCAAAACATGATGATATCAGATGAGACTTGGACCGCTGAATACTGTCCATTCTTCCTTTTTTCGATGTTATGAACAAAATTTTGACATAAGGCTTAAAACTAGTTTAGCTTTTTGCTAATTAATTTCTAAACTCATATTTCGGCTGGACATTTCAATACTCATTTTGATTTTTTGGTCTGGCTTGCATTAGTGAATTTAGACAGGTTAAATAAACCATGATGTACACAATAAACCACCCCAGCAGAATTGTGTACAGTGTTAGACAGGTTAAATAAACCATGATGTACTCAATGAACCACCCCAGCAGAATTGTGTACAGTAACAGACAGGTTAAATAAACAATGATGTACACAATGAACCACCCCCAGCAGAATTGTGTACAGTGACAGACAGGTTAAATAAACAATGATGTACACAATGAACCACCCCAGCAGAATTGTGTACAGTGACAGACAGGTGAAATAAACCATGATGTGCACAATGAACCACCGTTGCAGAATTGTGTACAGTGCTAGACATGTTAAATAAACCATGATGCAAACATCGACTCCCTGCAGCAGAATTACTGTGGTGGTTCGTTGTAATACATCTGAGGATATTTTAAGATATAATTTACTCATTATTTTTCTTTCTCTCTGCGTTGAACCATTAATAAAGTGTACAAGGAGTGTGCCTACAAGGAGGGAGGGGCACCTGCGCCGCCATGAACCTCTCAGTGTATCTTCTATGCTAAAACTTAATACATGTTTAGAGAAAAATCTGAAGTTAAAATTTGATGAATCCATTCATTCATTTTAACCATTTCGATTTTTATAAATTTTCTATTGTAAAATTATTCCTTTTCAAAGATTTCTATCTCTAAACAATTTTTCAAAAAAAGATGTCGCTTCAATCAAAGTTTACAACAAATCTAAATAAGTTCACTCCTGAATTTTTTACATTAAACACATATTTAAGTTTTAGCATGAAATTCATAATTTATAGCGAAGGCTTGTTCCTAGCTGTATGGCAAATCTGGGAGGCTCACAGCGGCGAGATTGTTTCTTCCTCCTAACACAATAGTAAATACTCCAGACAGAATGCAGCTCTAGTACTATATACAGCTGTCTTTATGTATGATTTATAACCAATATGCATTCCATATTTTACATAAAAGATTATAATTCTTTTTTTTACATTTTTCCAGATCTCTCTATATTCCACTTTTAAAATTTCTCTTTGAAGGAACTGTAAACATATTTTCAAGTGACCCCGTGTTTGTGGAGTTTATGTCCGATTCACAATGAGTGACGTTTTGTCAGTTTTCTATCTTTAAACATTTTCATCAATTGGGTCTCCTGGAAAATGTGCAAGTCACTTTTACAGAAAAAAAAATGAAAAAAACATCAATTTTCAGACAGAAGAACCAGGATGTTGTGAATCGGTTTAACGTCTATACAATTCCTTTAATTTGTACAATTACTTACACAGGTGGTACTCCAAGGGTAGGTATAGATGCCAGAGTTTTAAGAAGATGACCGAGAACATAGAATACAGAGATGGAGACAATTGTCTTAAACTTCCCGAGGTACATGTCCGCTAAGATAGAGCCGTAGATGGGAGTAAAGTAGCAGAAGGTGGAAAACGTGTGATAGATTACCTAAAAAATTTAATGTTCATAAAACTAATGAGTCATTTTTTATTTATATTATTTTTTAAACAAGGTGAATCAGGAAAATAAATATTTTCTAGATCCAAGGATGAAGGATGAAGGATGATGGATGATAAAGGATAAAGGATAAAGGATAAAGGGTAAAGGATGAAGGATGAAGGATGAAGGATGAAGGATAAAGGATGAAGGATGAAGGATGAAGGATGAATGATAAAGGATAAAGGATAAAGGATAAAGGATGAAGGATGATGAAGGATGATGAAGGATCCAGGATGAAGGATGAAGGATCCAGGATGAAGGATGAAGGATGAAGGATAAAGGATAAAGGATAAAGGATATAGGATGAAGGATAAAGGATAAAGGATGAAGGATGAAGGATGAAGTATGAAGGATGAAGGATGAAGGATGAAGAATAAAGGATATAGGATAAAGGATGAAGGATAAAGTATAAATGATAAAGGATGAAGGATAAAGGATAAAGGATGAAGGATGAAGCATAAAGGATAAAGGATAAAGGATAAAGAATGAAGGATGAAGGATGAAGGATGATGAAGGATGAAGGATGAAAGATGAAAGATGAAGGATGATAAAGTATGAAGGATGAAGGATGCAGGATAAAGGAAAAAGGATGAATTTTGAATGATGCAGAATAAAAGATAAAGGATAAAGGATAAAGGATGAAGGATGATGAAGGATGATGAAGGATGAAGGATGAAGAATGAAGGATGAAGAATAAAGGATGGTTGAAAAGGTGCGTAAAATTCCCGAAAATCTCATTAAGAGCTGGTGTGTTTTAATTTATTTCTTTATTTAGAATCAAGTGTTTCTTTATTGAAAATTGTTTTTGGTAATTTTAAATGTATTCTATACATTTGGAATTGATATTTCAAATTGATTTCTATATTTGAATTGTTTTCTATATTTTGAATTGTTTTCTATATTCTGAATTGTTTTCTGTATTTTAAATTGTTTTCTGTATTTTGAATTGTTTTCTATATTTTGAATTGTTTTCTATATTTGAATTGTTTTCTATATTTTAAATTGTTTTCTATATTTTGAATTGTTTTCTATATTTTGAATTGTTTTCTGTATTTTAAATTGTTTTCTGTATTTTAAATTGTTTTCTATATTTTAAATTGTTTTCTATATTTTGAATTGTTTTCTATATTTTGAATTGTTTTCTATATTCTGAACTGTTTTCTATATTTTGAATTGTTTTCTGTATTTTAAATTGTTTTCTGTATTTTAAATTGTTTTCTATGTTTTGTAAATGTTTCCCGTGAAGAAATTGTACAATTATCCAGGTATTGTTATAATTCTGGTTTTCTGCTTCTTTGTTCAAACCTTTTCGTTTCTTTATTCTTCTAACATTTAGCTGTCAAGCAGTTCCTTTCCAGGGAACCCTGTTCCATAGTTCCTTTCCGGGAAACCCTGTTCCATAGTTCCTTTCCAGGGAACCCTGTTCCACAGTTCCTTTCCAGGGAACCCTGTTCCATAGTTCCTTTCCAGGGAACCCTGTTCCATAGTTCCTTTCCAGGGAACCCTGTTCCATAGTTCCTTTCCAGGGAACCCTGTTCCATAGTTCCTTTCCAGGGAACCCTGTTCCATAGTTCCTTTCCAGGGAACCCTGTTCCATAGTTCCTTTCCAGGGAACCCTGNCCCTCCTTCTCCCTCCTTCTCCCTCCTTCTCCCTCCTTCTCCCTCCTTCTCCCTCCTTCTCCCTCCTTCTCCCTCCTTCTTCCTCCTTCTCTCTCCTTCAAACTTTAGGAACCAGAAGTATCTTTTAAAAACTGTCAATATTTACAATTTTGAACATGTATGTTTTCAAAATATGCAGTCAATATGCAGTTATATGCAGTCAATAAAATCTTTGATAACTAGGATAAAATTGTTTGTATATATCTTTGAAAACATTTCCAGTTTGACGCTTGTGAAATAATTTTGAGTAATTTTTATAAAAGGTTTTCATTAACGACCAGTCGCGTAATCAGAGCAGCAAGGGATTATCAAGGAGAAAATTAATATCAGAAAGAAAACATCATACTCCCATATAAAGTGCAAACTGCAAATATTGTGATTATTATGAGTGCACAATGCACCTAATTACTCAAGTGAACAATCTAAATGAGAAATTAAGATGCAAAGATTAAAAAATCCTGTAAAATTGATAATTAACAAAGGAGACTTCTATTTATTTCTTTTACTAACTAAATATTAAATAATGATGTCTGAATCTGTTAGAACTACTTACAATTGAGTTTTACCTTTTTCTTTCATGTTTTATATCACTTTTTTAAAACATATAGACTTTATAGACTTTATAGAGTGGCATGTCCGATTCCATACCATTGAAAGCTTTGTCTGATTAGCATTCTAAATATGTATAATATTTTCAGTCATGCCTTGATCTCACGTTCAAAATCGCTGAAATAGCGAGATCTTTTTCTTTCATGTTTTATATCACTTTTTTAAAGCATAAAAAGACTTTATAGAGGGGCATGTCCGATTCCATACCATTGATTGCTTTGCTTGTTTAACTTTAACTACATCCTGTCTTTATAAATATGTATAATATTTTCAGTCATGCCTTGATCTCACGTTCAAAATCGCTGAAATAGCGAGATCTTTTATACTTAAAAATTAAATATACCGACAAAAAAGTTTAAAATAGCAAATACGAAATATCTATTATTTGAAGGATGAAAATGCTCACTAGCTGGACTTTAACCAAGACCCTAGTTTACCATTTGCAAAGATGGCAATACCTGACACACACTGGTATTCTTAAAACCTTTGTCATATCAAGTATGAAATTATAGATATCATGCAATGTTTTAATTTTGAAAACTGATTATTTTTCATTGTGGTTTCTCTACAAAAGTGACTTGTAATTTTTACTGCAGAAAAACTTTTTGCAGAAAAAGTATAATTTTTAGTTGGATAGTATCTCCATTATTTGTTATTTTCCGAGTTCAATAAACAACGTTTATCAAGTCATTGAGTTGAAGGCCAGTAATTTATCCGTCAACAGCTGATTAAACAGCTGACATTCAGCTGACAGCTTTCCTATCATTAGCGGTTCATGATTGATTGATTGCAGAGTGTACGCCATCTTTAAATAAAAGTTAGAAAAACTTAAATTTCCAAATCCATATATATATCAAAACAGGCATCACTTACTTTTGAATCCTGAATGGACTTTGGAAACAAAAATATTTTTTTAATTTTATCTATCTATCAATCTATCTATCTATCAATCTATCTTTCTATCTAATTCCATAGTCTCCAAGTTATCTCTATACATATATTCTCCTAACTGGGAATTGGAAAACCGTCTCTTCCTTCATAAATTCATTTCATTTTAGGTTTAAACACATAGACCTAGTAGTGCACAGAGGAATCAGTAGGATACATAGATCTAGCAGAGCACAGATGAATCAGTAGATGCATAGACCTAGTAATACACAGAGGAATCAGTAGGATTCATAGACCTAGCAGAGCACAGAGGAATTAGTAGGGTACATAGACCTAGTAGTACACAGAAGAATCGGTATCATACATAGACCTAGTAGTGCACAGAGGAATCCGTAGGATAAATAGACCTAGCAGAGCACAGAGGAATCAGTAGGATAAATAGACCTAGCAGACGACAGAGGAATCGGTAGGATACATAGATCTAGCAGAGCACAGAGGAATCAGTAGGGTACATAGACCTAGCATAGTACACAGAGGAATCAGTAGGATACATAGACGTAGCAGAGCACAGAGGAATCAGTAGGATACATTGATCTAGCAGAGGTCATCGGAATCCGTTGGTAAACTTTATCTTCCACAGATAAACCTTTTATAGCTTACAATAAGAAGAACAAGAATTCTGAATGACTGCACTGAAATCTTTGTTTTTCTCACACAATGATCCAATGGTGGCAAAATCCGTTGAGAATTTTGCTATTACATTCTTATACCGCAACTTTATAATTAAAAAATATAAATGTCCAGGGCGTAACAAAATATAAGGCCAAAGTGTTGCGATACTGAAAAATGATGCAACTTTATGCAGCAATCAGTATCTATATAGTATAACATTTACATTATCTTAGATAGAAAAACGAAGATATAGTCCTCACTGTTACTCAAAAAAATGTTTCAAGGATTTTTTAATCAAACGGGCAAGTACTACTATTTATATATCTCTTTAAATGTACGATCACTTGAAATTAAGTCAGCATGCAGTCCCTTTACCTGAATAAGTGATTATTTAAGATTCTTAAAACATCTATTTGATAATTTGATATATAACTTTAGAATCATTTACACGTCTAATGTGGAAGCAAAAAGAGTTTTGATAAATTATAAAATAAATACGATGATTTTCCGGTTTGGTTTCACAGTTTGATCACCAGGGATAAATAATCTCGCGGATTTTAAAAAAAGTATTTCGTAGATTTTTACAGATTTTTTCAGATTTTTTTCAGATTTTTTCACCAACATATCCGATGATAGATAGATAGATGATTCGCCTAGAAACCCCTCAATCAATCAATCAATTAATCTATCAATTAAACAGTCAGCAGAAGCTGCAGACAAGTGGACACAGATTTTTTAATTTTGATAAGTTTATTCAATTTTCAGACTCTCTCAGTCACAATATAATTATGATCTCACTTGATTATCTTTTAGATAATTTGTTTTTTTACGTTAATTAGTTTTGTCAATGTCGTCACAATATTCTTCAGAATGAATGCATTAACAATGAATCCATAATTTTGCCCTGTTCTCAGAAATATAGAGCTGGTCACAAAGAACAATAAAACACCCTTTAGTGGGAAAGTACTTTTTTTTAAAGAAAGTCTTCATAAAGAAATAAAAATTAAAAGACAAGTTTTAAAACAAAAATTCAAAGGGCAATGTTGCTTTGAAAAAAACTGGCGGCAAGAAATGCAACGGGTTGTAAATTTTTTATAATCTAAAAAATTGTAATTGTAATTGTAATTGTAATTGTAATTGCTGCGTAAATTATTCAATATAGTGCTCTAAAAAATAAAAAACTTTTTTTTTACTCATTTGTGGTGCTTTCCGCCCCTGATATTGAATTATTTGTGGTGCTTTCCGCCCCTGGTATTGAATTATTTGCCCCAGCTTTTCAAATCAGGTTTTTATCCTAAAGTAACAGTTTTCCATATTTGCTCTTAATAGAACCCGTGAAAATTAGAAAATGTGCAACTTTATTTTTATTCCAAGCTTAATTTCAAGGCAAAAATTATATTCAGATTTACATGGTAATAAGGGAAATAAGAAATGTAAAAACCATCTATTTCTTACTTTTATTTCTTACTTTTCAAATTTTCTCTTGCTATATTTTTCCTTTTGGTTTCTTTTTATAATTTCCTTTCACCTTCACAAAGTTGTAAGAATAGAAGATTAGAAAAAAGAAGATGAAAAGTGGAAATGCGACCTTTTCTAAGTTAGAGTTGAGATCGCTATCTCTATAATGATTTAGATAAAAAACAGATTTACAGTATTTTCTATTTTTCTAATCATCCTTTTATGTGATATTAATTAGAAATAAATTACATTCTTATTTTAAAATCATACATTACATTTATCTGTTTAAAACACATTATATTAGTTAGAGTTTCAAAAACATGGAACGTTTTGGGAAAATTGGGAATCCCGCAACCTCTTCTGATTGAAAACCTTTCGTCATCGTAAATTCTTGTTTTTTACTTGAATTTTTGTTTCTTTTACTTCGATTCCTGTCTTTTACTTGAATTCTTGTTTTTTAATTTCAATTCTTATTTTTAACTTTTATTCTTGTTTCTTACTGTAATTCTTGTTTCTTACTTAAATTCTTGTTTCTTACTGTAATTCTTGTTTTTTACTTAAATTCTTGTTTTTTACTTCAATTCTTGTTTTTCACTTCAATTCCTGTTTTTTCTTCAATGCTTGTTTTTTATTTCAATTCTTACTGCAATTATTGTTTTTAACTTCAAGTCTTTTTTTATACTTCAATTCTTGTTTCTTACTGTAATTCTTGTTTTTTACTTCAATTCTTGTTTTTTGCTTTATCTTTCACTTTATTGTTTTCTTATTCTCTCCTTGTCTTTTCTTATTTTTATCTTTTCTCTCATCCTTCCTTCTTCATTCTCAATGAACTTTGAATCGTTCTCTTTTTTCCTTTTCTTTATTTTTCCGTCCTATTGTTTCGTTTCCCTTATTTTTACTTCTCATTCTTTTCTACTCATATTAAAGGAAGAAATGTATAGTTAAAGTAGATTGCTGAAAGTAATTGAGGATCGCTTTCCATGGGTTGCGGATTGCTGAAAGTAATTGAGGATTTGTGGATTGCTGGAAGGGAGTGCGGTTCGCTTGATGGATTTGTGGATCGAATTTGAATGAAATGTTAGGGGAGGATAAAAATTAATGCGGGAAGGTAAAAAGAATGGGAAAGAACGAAGAGGATTAATGAGGGAAGGTTAAAACAGTTTAAAAGAAGGGGAAGGGAGTAAAGGGGGAGGGAGTAAAGGGGGTGGGATGAGGAGGTTGGACTTTAAGTATAAAAGTTTTTTCATAAGGATGGACTAAGAAGCATATAAAAATAAACACGTTCAGATAAAGGCGTATTTTTTATCCGACTATCTGATCCCTACTAAGGAACGCCATGCACTGGGTATAAAGTATATCATCTAACTTAACTTTTGTTTACTTATTAGATATGCTGGAAAACAGAAGATCGAGTCCCAAGTATCAAATAAATAAAACAATTTCCCAATTTCCAAGTGTCACTTCTCAAGTGCCCTACCCCTAGCAGTAGTACTCAGGCGAACCCTTTTCTTCCCATATTCGATTTAAAAAATTGCGAAAACAATATATGTACAGCTAGTGTACACTGTGCAGCTAGTGTACACTGTACAGCTAGTGTACACTTTACAGCTAGTGTTCACTGTACAGCTAGTGTACACTATACAGCTAGTGTACACTATACAGCTAGTGTACACTGTACAGCTAGTGTACACTGTACAGCTAGTGTACACTGTACAGCTAGTGTACACTGTACAGCTAGTGTACACTATACAGCTAGTGTACACTGTACAGCTAGAGTACACTGTACAGCTAGTGTACACTATACAGCAAGTATACACTGTACAGCTAGTGTACACTGTACAGCTAGTGTACACTGTACAGCTAGTGTACACTGTACAGCAAGTATACACTGTACAGCTAGTGTACACTATACAGCTAGTGTACACTATAAACTTAAAATTTTGTAAATAAAGGGAGAAGCTGAAAAGCCTTTTCTTCCACCTTAAATGAATAAAAAAAATTAAAAAGTGAAAAAAAACTTTGCATTCCTTCATTTTATTGCCTAAAAATCATGGAGTCGTTATCAAGAAAGTAAGTATTCAATGAAGGTGTGAAATTTTTCTGAAACATTTTTACAGAAGCAGAAAAGTATTCTACTGGGAATAAAGAATACTAAGACAGTTTTATTAAATGTTTTTTTTCACAAATATCAAAAGTGGCTGTTTCAAATGTTTCAAATGGACCTTAATGACAAAATGTAAAAAAATCACCAACAAAGTAAAAATTTTGAAAAACTTATCTAAGTGAGTATCATTGGAAGCTTGCTGAATATCCGAATTCATATTAATTTACAGAAATGAATAATATTACAACTTGACCGAGAGAGGTATAAATTAATTAAATCTATTAAGAGAAAAAACGAGTTTTGACCATAACTTGCCCATTTTTAAGATTTTTCAATTCTGTAAATTGTTTTGAACTCCGGGTTTCAAGTCG